GGTGTGAGTCGTTCGGGCCCCTCCTTCTGGTGTGAGTCGTTCGGGCTCTTCGTGGTGTGAGTCGTTCGGGCCCCTCGTCCTGGTGTGAGTCGTTCGGGCTCCTCGTGGCGTGAGGCGTTCGGGCACCTCGTCCCCTTTTGGGGCGTCTTGGGGGCCTCTTGGCGGCCCCAGGGGCTTCTAGGAGCGTCTTGGGTGCCTTGGGGGAGCCTCTTCGGGCCTCTTGGGAGCCTCTTGGAGGCCGTTTGGGGCGTCTTGGGGGCCTCTTGGCGGCCCCAGGGGCTTCCAGGAACGTCTTGGGTGCCTCGGGGGAGCCTCTTGGGGCCTCTTGGGGGCCTCTTGGGGGCATCTTGGGGGCCTCTTGGAGGCCTCTTGGGGGCCTCCTGGGGGCCTCTTGGGGCCATCTTGGGGCCTCTTGGTGCCTCCTGGGCGCTTCTTGGGGCCATCTTGGAGAACATCGATCAAAGAAGAGGGGAGCTTTAATTAGCGCTGCCCCCTCAGAAGGGCAAAATGGGGCCAAAACCTGAGTGAAATCAATGATTTTGGCTTGAAAGAAGAGGGGAGCTTTAAGTAGCGCTGCCCCTTCAGAAGGCCAAAATGGGGCCAAAACCGTAGTAAAATCAATGACTTTGGCTTCAAAGAAGAGGGGGGCACTTTTCTCCCTCCCCCCGTCGGGGCCAGAATCCTCGTGAGGGGTGTAGTTTTTTTCAGCCCTCCGAGGAGTCGAAAAAAGACCCCCCGGGCGACCCGCGGAGGGACCTCTCCAGGCCCAGGGGGAGGGGGTAGGGGGAGGGGTAAACCCCTCCCCGAAGGGGAAGAAGGGGGGTTGAGAACAGAGCGGGCTCTCTAAACCACTCACGCCCAAAGGGCTGGTGGGATTTCTAGAGCCTGTCGGCGATCCCGCGATTATTGGCCAAGTCCGACGGAAGCACGGTCCACCTCCAAGGGAAGGTTGTTCGCTCTCTTCGAAATCAAGTTCTGAGCCGCTGTTCCACGCTTCTCCAGCCCCGAATTCGTTCTTTGATCCCCAAGCCCCCGAATGGTATACGAACAGAGTTTTCTTGAATTTCAGACTAGCCAATCGTTTGCTCGACTTGTCTTCTACTGGTGCTTATATGAAATCTGTTTGCAATGCCTGGGCGACAACTAAATGATGTCGCCAAGCCTGCTGTTTCTGCAGGTTCTGTGGTGAGGAGAGCGGTGACAGTATCCGTCATATGCTTGAGTGTTCTGTGCTCATCCCTGTTCTGCTCCGTGTTCTCCCCGTCCTCTTCTCTTGCTTTGCTCTGAAGCGTCTTCCTGTCTCGGACGTTTCTCAGTTGTCTCATGACCAGCTCCTGGCCTGCTTTCTCGTTCATGCTATTGCATCCGCTACCTTTAATGCAGTGAGGCACTTCGGGAGGCAGGGCCCCGACGCAGTCACAAATCTTGTGGTTGTCGTGCTCGTGCCCTGTCCAAGCGCTCCCGCCGAAGCAGAGACATCCTTATGGCACGTTAGCATCATCATCGGCATCATCCGCATCAGCATTACCCGCATCATCATCATCACCGTCATCATCGTCACCAAGCAGAAGCATGATCATCATGATTATCATCATCATCGCCGTCATCATCAGCATCATCGTTAACATCATTATTATCACGTGCGCCATCATCATCATAAACACCAGCATCAGCATCATCATCACCATTACCATCACCATCATCATCAGCATTCACATCATCAGCAGCAACATCAGCATCAGCACCAGCTTCGCCATCAGTATCAGCATCAGCATCACCCGAGTCATCCGAATCATCATCAGCATCAGCATCATCATCATCGTAGCCACCATGAAGCATCACCATTGTAGGCATCACCATCATAATCCTCACCATCACCATCACCAGCACCAGCACCAGCACCATCATCATCATAATCGTCATCACCATCAGCAGCATCATCGTCGTTACCAATCCCATTCGCATGCTCATCATCGTCGTCGTCGGCGCCAGCAGCATCATCATAAGCTTCATATGCACAAGCAGCATAATCAACATCATATTACGCATCATCAATATCGTCATCCTCATCGTCGTCGTCATTAACATTGTCATCATCACCACCACGTTCATCATTATCCTCGTCATTCTCACCTCCACTGTTATCATCACCGTTGTGCTCATCATCGTCATTGTCATTGCCATTGCCATTATCATTGGTAGGAGCACTATCATCGCGGTCATCACACTCACTACCGCCACCATCGCCACTGTCATCGTCATCGTGATTGACATTGTTAGCATCGTTATCCTCGCCTTTTCCAGTATCACCAGCTATCAACACCAGCATCGAACACCATCAGTACATCCTGAACATTAGTAACACCATCATCATAGTTACTGTCATCGTCAGCAGCTCCATCTTCATCATGACCATCATGATCATCATCAGCATCATCATCATCATCGTTATCATCACCATCATTGTTACTATCAGTCGCAGCATCATCATCGCCATCTTCGTCATCACTGCGTCCTCGCCATCGATTGCCATCGCCATCGTCATCGCCATCATCAGCATCATTGTCACTATGACCATGACCATGATCATCATCATCAGCAGCAACAACATCAGCATCAGCATCCGCATCAGTACCGTCAACACCATCACCAACACCATCATCATCGTTATCATCATTATCATGATTGTCATCACCATCATCACTATCACTATCTTACTGTGCCTCCTCGCCGCCGTTCCCCCCCCTTGCCCCAGCGGCGGCGTTAGCGGCGGTGGCGACCTCTGGTGGCGGCGGCAGCGGCTCCGACGGCGACCGACGGCGGTGGCGGCGGCGACGTTGCCCCCGCAGTGCAGAAACAACGCAGACGAGATATTGCGACGGCCTGACTGCCAGTGCCACCGAACCCGAAGGAGGACGAAAACGATGACGACGAAAACTCAGACGAGAAGTTTTCGAGCCTGCTGCTTTTCCAACCAGTATGCGATTAGACACAGCAGCCAGCGCTGGGTGGCTTCTCTCCCCCCATCCTCGTCTCCCTCGCTTGCCGCCCCCAGTCCCACCGCTACGACTTGCTGTCTGTGCTGTGCTGTCTGGTGCTGACTGGTTCCGCGCCTGCTCACTGTCGAGTGGGGCGAATCCTGGGGATGCGACGGGGGAAGTCGGGCCGGCCACAGAACCTGGATTCACCGTTGCAGAGCGTTCCAGAAGGCTCGCAGAGCGTTCCTGAGCGATCTGGAACGGCCGCGGTGCCCAATGCATCCTTCAGAGCTGCCGGGTCTCAGGCATCCCCAGTTTGGTTCTGTCTGATTCCGTCCGTATGGGGGAGGGGGAAAGACAACCCGAGTCGGCTGCCTGACCGCAGTGGAGTGTCGGACGGCGCCTCCTTTGCGTCCCAGGAGCGCAGCCTCGGTGGCGCCGAGCTCGTGCAGTGCGCGGCGGCGGCGCAGCTGCAGCGGGAGTGCGGGGGTGGGCCTGAGGCGGCGTGCCCCGCGCCCCGTGGGACGGGCGACCCGGGACCGACGCGCGAGCTGAGGATGATGATTTTGATGGTGATGGTGATGATGATGGTGATTCTGGTAAAGACGGTGATGATGGTGATGCAGACGGTGATGGTGGCGATGGTAGCGATACTCATGATGATGATGACTGTGGTGATTGTGGTGGTGATGACGACGATCATGATGATGGTGGTGGTGATTGTTGTGGTGATGGTGATGATGGTAGTGGTGATGATGACGACGTCGACGATGATGATGGTGGTGATGATGATGCTGTTGATGATGCTGTTGATGATGATGATGACTATGATTATTCATGATGATGTAGGCGATGGTGGTCATGCTGATTGTGATGGTGATTGTGATTGTGATCGTGATGCTGATGATGGAGGTGGCGCTGACGACGTCGATTACGATGCTGATGATGATGCAGATGCTGATGATGATGATGATGAATTGAATGAGGATGCTGGTGAAGACGATGACGACGATGGTGACGATAACGATGACGACGATGGTGATGATGAAGATGCTAATTATGATGATGATGATGATGATCACGATGATGATGATGATGATGATGATGATGATGATGATGATGATGATGATGGTGATGATTATGATGATGATGCTGACTATGGTGATGCTGACGTGCTTACGATGGTGTTGCTGTTATGTGTGATAATGATGGTGATCATAGTACTGTGATTATGGTGATGTGGTGATGGTGGTGAGGATGATATGAGATGTGATGATGGTGGTGATGGTGATGGTGATGGTGATGATGATGATTATGATGATGGCGACGAGGCGACGACGATCATGATGATGATGACGACGGTGATGATGGTGATGATGATGATGATTGCAATGATGATGATTATGATGATGATAATGAGGATCATGTTGATGATTGTGATGACGATGATGATGACGATGATGATGTTGATGATGAATATGATGATGAATAATATGAATTATATGGTGATGATGATGATGCTGATGATGATGATGATGATGATGATGATGATGATGATGATGATGATGGGGACGGTGATGGTGATGGTGATGGTGATGGTGATGGTGATGGTGATGGTGATGGTGATGGTGATGATGATGATGATGATGATGATGATGATGATGATGATGGTGGTGGTGGTGGTGGTGGTGATGGTACCAAGACCCCCCCCCTTCACTGTCGCGGCCCCCGCCGCCGCCGCCGCCGCCTCCTCCGCCGCCCGTGGCCTTCTCCGCGCCTGCCCGCCGCCCGGCTGCTCCGCCGAACTTGCCCAGGGGGAGCCCCCGCCCCCCTTGCGGCCCGGCCCCCCGCAGCGCCCGCCGCTGCGGGGCCGCGCGGTGCATGCGCGCCGCGGCCCACTGCGCACGGTCGCCTCCACCGCGGGGGGTGGCGCGGCGCGGCGCGGGGGCGTAGCGCGGCGGCGGGCGCGGCGCGGCGGCGAGGCGCGGCGGCGGGGGCCGCGGCGGAGGCCGCACAGCGGCTATGTGGAGGGAGGCGCGTGGGGCACGGCACCTCCCCGCCCTCTCGCCCCCGCAGTGTCAAGCAGCGGCTAAGCGTCCTGGCTTGCCTAAAGGCCTACCAAGACATGTCATAAGAACCTCTTATGGTCTACACGAAATGTTCTTAGAACATTTCTTGCTCAGACTGTCTTGTTTCAACACATCGGGCTCATGTTCTAAGAACACTGTTTTTGTTCTTAGAACATTTCTGGGTTCTAAGAACACGTCGTGGTAGGCCTATGGGAAAACCCGGACGGTCGGTCCCTGCTCACCGGTGGGGCAGTCATGCACCACCCTTAGCTGCCCTGGTGCGCCCGTGTCGAAACTCAGCATGTACCGTGTTCAGAGCGTCCGTTTTAACACGCTGCGTGTTGTTTGTGTTGGGCTCGGCACGTGTTGGTCCACATTCTGGCGAATGTATCGCGCCAGACCTACATACGTTTCCGGTCTACGTGCTGACTCTGTGTCAACACGCTACGGGTTGCGTGTTGCGTATCGGGGCAGCCATGGCACCACCATGCCTTGACAGGACCATCCTCAGGGGCAGCGCCAGGGGCGGAGGGATAGGCTTAGGGGGCGGGGCTGCATCGACCCCCAACCGCCCACTCATCGCGGGCTGCGGCCCGATATCCCAGACCGCCCAGGAGCGTGCGGATTCGTCGTCGTGGGCCTTTCGCCGATCTATCGGCGATGCATCGCCGATTCCAGCTCGTCTATTGTTGCCCCTCACACCCTTGGTCCAAGTATGTCCTCCTGGGCGAAGCCACGCGGGGTATGGATGGTGGTGGTGGTGGTGGTGTGTGCATTTGCCTCTCTCTTTCTGCGGGCTCGTCCTCCTCGTCCCCGCCGGTTTCCCCATTCACCGCAGTTTAGGACGTTAGATGGTTCACGCGGTTTGGTCGTTGACTTATCGGGGGCACCGCGTGCTCGTCTTGGTCGTGGTCTGGAACTCCTTCCTTCCTCCTCCCCTCCTTCTCCCTCCTCCTCATCCTCCATTCTTCCTTTTGCTCCCTCCTCCTTCTGGAGTCCCAGAGCTTCTTTCCTCCTCTTGAAGCTCATCTTCCTCATGTTACGCAACTTCCTCCTCTTTTGTTATCAGGTTCCTTCTCCTCCTGGAGCTCATCCTGCTCCCCTGGAGCTACTCCCTTCTTCTCCTCCTGGAGCGCATCCTGCTCGTATATTGATTTATCCGTTCTCATGCGCTTCCTTCTGGGGCTTCTCATATTGTGAGCTCCTCCTCCTCTTCCTCTCCTTCTCGTACCTCCCTCTCCTCACGGAGTGCATTCTTCTTCCCCCTTCTCTTCCTCCGGAGGATTCTCTCATGGAGCTCCTCCTCCCCCTCCTCGTCCTACGGCGCTCCTTTCTGGGGCTTGGCCAGAAACGCTCTGCCCGCGGGAGGGGACGCCCCCGACGAGGGGCGGGGCTCTGGGAGAAGGCGTCCATGAAGGAGGGTCCAACCGTACCTCCACCTTCCTTGCACCTTAACCCAACACCCCAGTCAACCACTCACTCACCTCCCCCCCTCCCCGCGAAGCCTCCCGCGGCCCAGGTCCTGGCGGCGGCCGTGGCCGTTGGCGCCGCCCCGGCCCCTGGGCCGCAGCAGGCGATGAGGGGATGGGGAGCGGGGGCGGGGGCAGGAGCCACGGACGGGGTGAGGCGTGGGGGAGGGAGGAGGGCGGAGGGGTAAGGAAGGAGGCGAGCCTGGAACAAACAGGGGGAGGGGAGGATACGGTGGGTGTGTGTGTTCTTAGGGTTCTGATTGCTGAGGGCCTCCCAGGGGGTTCTGTGGCGGCCCCTGGGGCGCAAGAAGGAGGAGGAGGAGGAGGATGAAGCAGACGAGGAGGGGTGCACCGAGGATGATGATGATGATGATGATGATGATGATGATGATGATGATGATGATGATGATGATGATGATGATGAGAAGGAGGAAGATGAGGAGGAGGAGGAGGAGGAAAGGTAACATAAGGATGATGGGGATCGGGAAGCAGTGGATGATGATAGTAGTACGATGCGGATGGTCACGAGAGGGAATGCGACGAGGACGATGAAGATGACGATGAAGATGACGATGCCGATGGTGACGATGATGATGCTGATGATGATGACGATGATAATGCTGCTGATGATGGTGATGAGTATGATTCCCTACCTAGGCTCTGCCTAGAAGGGTTCTTACTCTATGGGCTTAAAGGGCCGGGCAAAGCAAACCGCCTCGGGCGGTTCCCCCCGGCATCCGCCCCGCGGTTCCCCCAGTTACGTCCCTTTAGCTTAGCGTTGCTTATCTCATCTCAGCTTAGCTTATTTCATCTTAGCCTAGCTTAGCTTCATCTTAGCTCAGGTTTATCTTAGCTTAGCTTATCATCATGTTAGCTTCGCTGAACTTTAGCATAGCAGAGCACAGCATAGCATAGCAGAGCGTAGCATAGCATAGCGCAGCACAGCATATCATAACATAGCCCAACACAGCATAGCATAGCGCAGCATAGCATAGCATATCATAGCATAGCGCAGCACAGCACAGCACAGCATAGAACAGCGCAGCATAGCATAGCATAGCAGAGCAGAGCATAGCATAGAACAGCGCAGCATGACATAGCATAGCTTAGCGTAGCATAGCATAGCATAGCGCAGCATAGCATAGCATAGCATAGCATAGCATAGCGCAGCATAGCATGGCATAGCATAGCATAGCATAACATAGCAACTAATGCTGCTTTCCTAGGGGCTCCAACTTCTAGGTAGGGTCGCACTGGGGTAATGCTGCTGATGGTGGTGCTGCTGGTGGTTCCGATGGTAATGGTGAAGATGACGATGCTGATGACGACGATGATGATCGCGATGGTGGTGATGGTGACCGTGCTTATGATGATTATGCTGCTGCTGATCAGGGGAATGTGTGAATGGCGATGGTGCTGATGATGGTGCTGATGCCGATGCCGATGATGGTGGCGGTGGCGATGATGATGGTGATGATGATGGTGATGATGCTTCTGATGATGTTGATGATGATGATGATGATGATCATGCTGCTGATGATGATGATGATGACGACATTGCTGATAGCGATGACGGCGATGCTGATGGTGGTGATGGTGATGTCGGTGATGATGATGATGACAATGCTGACGATGCTGATGATGCTGCTGATGATGATGATGATGATGATGGTGATGGTGGTGATGCTGATGTTGATGATAGTGATGATGATGCTGATGATGGTGGTGGTGGTGATGGCAAAGACACGATAACGTGGTGGACGATGCAGTGTGCGTGTGTGTCCATGAGGGTGTCGGTGATGGTGACGAAGACGGCACCAACGACCGCGGCGACGATGATGCTGATGCTCATGCTCATGCTGATGGTGACGACGGTGATGATCGGGATGACGATGATGATGATGATGATGATGATGATGATGATGATGATGACGGTGATGATGATGTTGTTGTTGATAATGATGATGGTTATGATGAAGATGTAGATGACGATCAGTGGAGTAGGGCGGACGAGGAAGATCAGGACGACGAGCCGCAGAGGAGCAGGAGGAGGTGGATGAAGGGGACCAGTGGAAACCCAAGACGCATCAGCGACGTTGCGATACACCCTCCCTCCACGTCCTCCCCCCATGGGACCTCAACGCCGCGGATCAACGTGACTGTTGCGTCATGAAAACCCGAAGCCGTGCCAGAAAACTGTTTCCTGCCTTCAATTCTAATCCGTGCCAGAACGAATTCCTTGGATTTCAACGCCGCGGATTTGTGAAACCGCTGCAAACTTTTGAGACGCATGTGTGTGGGGCTAAAACGAGAACCACATTATGAAAACGAACCGCCTCCCGTCCGTGAAACGGTTGCAAACTTTCCGTACGAGTGTGCGCGGCGTTACGGCGATAACCACATTTTCAAAACGATTCGCCATCCTTCCGTAACATTGCTGCGAACTTTTACGACGAATGTTCGTGGGGCTGAGGCGAGAGCCACATTTTGAAAAGGGCTCGCCTTTTGGCGAGGAAGTCTCAGGCGAAACGCCCGGCCCGACAGGGAGGAGTTGTCTACAAGGAGAAGGAATGGACGCGGACGACGTGGACGAGGAGGCGGGGGAGGCGGTGCCAGGAATGCGAGGGGGGGACAGGAGCAGCACGAGGCAGGCCAGGAGCGCGCAGCAGCACACAGCAGCGAGGACAGCGACGAGGACGAGGAGGGCGACGAGGAGGCCCTTGCAGAGCGGCAGGCGGCGCCGCCTGCGGCGGTGCCGCCCGAGTGCCTGGAGCTCGCGACGTGCGCGTCCGCGGGCAAGGCCGACTGGGGCGAGTTCCGGGCGCGCTTGCAGCGGGCGGTGGCAGCCGAGGACCTGCGCCGACGCACGCACGCACGCCGCTAGCGGACGACGGACGACGGACGACGATGACGCCAGACCGCGTCGGCGACGACGGGCTCGACGTTGGCGCCGCCGCCGTCGGCGCCGATCGGTAAGGCCGTCGCAGTCCCCCAGAAGGCTGGGCCGGCTCCCGTGGGCCATCGATTCGTTCGCAGAACCGTGCCCCTTGTCGATATCCGAGTCACCGCAGACTCCCGTGGCCGAGCAAGCCGACTCGGAGCGATTGGGCCCCTCTTGCGGCCTCGTGGCCCGGTCTCCGAGCTTCTCTGGCCTTCTTGGCGGCCCCGCTCTCGGGCCGTCCTGGGCTCACTCGCGGCCTTCTTGGTTGTCTTTGCAGCCTCGGCCGTGATTGCCGGCCTGGGGCCTCGCCAGGAGTAAGCGAGCGAGCGGACTATCCAGGCAACGTTTCTCTCGCCAGGGTGAGGGGAGGGGAGGGGGAGGGGGAGGGGGGGGGGAGGGGAGCAGGAGGAGGGGGGGTGATTGATAGAGGGAGCACTAGGGGCGAGAGAAGCTATAAGAGAGGGAAGGATGGCTGGGGGAGCTGCTGGGGGATGATGGGACAAGAGGTAAGCATGAGGATGGTGATGATAAGGATACTGGTGATCATGATCATGCTGCTGCTGATGCTGACGATTGGTGGTGGTAGTGATGGTGGTGGTGATGATGTTGACCATGGTGGTGATGCTGGTGTTGCTGTTGTTGCCGCTGCTAAAGCCGCTGATGATCATGTTGATGCTGCGGATGCTGATACTGATCGGTGGCGATGATGTTGCTGATGATAATGGTGATGCTGATACTGATGATGCTTAGTATGATGAGGATGGTGACGATTATGATGATGATGATCGTGAGGATGTTGATGATGACGATGACGATTATGATGATGATCATGATGATACTGATAACTTTGATGATGATCAGGATCATGATGATGTTGATGATGGTGAAGATGATGGTGATGATGTTGATGCTGATGCTGATGCTGCTGTTGATGGCGATTTTGCTGCTGTTGCTAAGGATGCTGATGATAAGGATTATGATGCTGATGATGATGCTGCTCATGCTGATCATGAGGATGACGCTGATGATGATGATTATGATAATGCTGCAGATGATGATGCTGGTGATGATGATGATTATGATGGTGTTGATGATGGTGATGATGATGTTGCTGCTGATGATGATGCTGACGACGATGATGATGCTGATGCTTCTGCTGCTGATGATGCTGGTGATGACGATGATGAGGACGATGGTGTTGATGCTGGTGATGCTGCTGTTGCTGATACTGATGATAAGGATGCTGATGATGATGGTGGTGGTGGTGATGGTTAGGATGTTGATGATGACGATGCTGATGCTGCTGCTGATGATGACGATGCTGCTGCTGCTGATGATGATGATGCCCGCGGCTGAAGGGGTCAGGAGCAATGATGATGATGATGGCAACGATGATGATGCTGATGATGATGACGCTGATGATGAAGATGTTCCCGCGCTTCCAGAGGTGGTAGTCGCCGACTCGCTTTCTCCCCCCTCACGATGATAAGATTGATGTTGATGATGCTGATGATGATGATGGTGATGATGCTGATGACGATGGTGTTGCGGTCGAGGATGCTGAGGATGATGCTGATGCCGATGATGATGTTGATGATGACGATGATGATGCTGATGCTTCTGATTAAGATGATGAGGCTAGTGATGACGATGATGATGCTGATTATGATGCTGATGCTGCTGCTGATGATGATGCGTTTGGTTCTGAAGATGATGATGAGGATGCTGATCATACTGATTGTAGTGATGAGGTTTTAGACGATGACGATAAGGATGATGCTGCTGCTGATGATGAATCTGACGTTGATGATGGTGATGATCATGATGGTGATGACGATGATGATGATGATGCTGATGATGATGCTGATGGTGGCGATGATGATGATGATGATGATGATGATGATGATGATGATGATGATGATGAGGATGAGGATGATGACGATGATGATGACAACGACGACGATGATGATGATGATGATGAGGATGAGGATGATGATGATGATAACGACGACGCTGATGATGATGATGATGATGATGATGATGATGATGATGCTGATGCTGATGCTGATGCTGATGCTGATGCTGCTGCTGATGATGATGATGATGAGGAGGAGGAGGAGGAGGAGGAGGAGGATGATGATGATGATGAGGAGGAGGAGGAGGAGGTGGAGGTGGATGTTGATGATGCTGATGGTGATGACGACGACAGCACCGAGGAGGAGGAGGAGGAGGAGGAGGAGGAGGAATAGGAGGAGGATGGCTCGGCTCGGTTCTGACAATAAGAGGAACTACGTCTGGACTGTGCACCTGCTCCAAACATTCACCACTGTGGGAAGTGCCCCCCCTGCTCCCAGGAGGAGGAGGAGGAGGAGGAGGAGGAGGAAGGAGGAGGAGGAGGAGGCGGAAGGCGGAGGAGGAGGAGGAGGAGGAGGAGGAGGAGGAGGAGGAGGAGGGAGGAGGGAGGAGCCAGGAGCCAGGAGCCAGGAGGGGGGAGGGAGGATGAGGAGGAGGAGGAGGAGGAGGAGGAGAGGAGGGAGGAGGAGAGAGGGCGAGGAGGAGGAGGAGGAGGAGGAGGAGGAGGACGAGTACGAGGAGGAGGAGGAGGAGGAGGAGGAGGAGGAGGAGGAGGAGGAGGTTGACAGCGTGGCTGGTGGAATGACCAGCGCACGCGGCAGCCCATGGCTGGAGTGGCGGGAGAGCCGCGGGCAATGATTTTCTGGGGACTTGGGAAGCACCAGTGTCCTCCTTCTCTCTCTTCCTCCCTCCTCTCGGCCTTCCCTCTTCTCTATGGTGCTTCCCTAATATTCCCTCTCCATCTATGTCGTTCTTTTCTGCTCCTAGAATGGGATTGGGACTCATGAGTACAAGAGTGCAGGAGGAGAGAGGAGGAAGAGGAGGAGGAGGAGGAGCAGGAGGAGGAGGAGGAGGAGGAGGAGGAGGAGGAGGAGGAGGAGGGAGGAGGAGGAGGAGGAGGAGGAGAGGAGGAGAGGAGGAGGAGGAGGAGGAGGAGGAGGAGGAGGAGGAGGAGGAGGAGGGGAGGGGAGGGGCAGGGGGATCGGGGACGGGGGAGGGGGAGGAGGAGGGGAGGCGGAGGGGGAGGAGGAGGAGGACAAGGAGGAGGAGGAGGAGGAGGAGGAGGAGGAGGAGAAGGAGGAGGGGGAGGAGGGAAGACGGGGCTGTGGCTCGGGGTCAGTGCCCACACGCGCAGTCGCGAGCCCTCCGCCCGCTGGCCTTTTCTGGCCGAGTCAGATCTTCCTCGGGGCACGGACCTGAGGCGGTCCCCCAGCCAGCCTCCCTTGCTGATTCTCGCCGTCGCCGTTGCCGTCGCAGTCGTCGTCCTCTGGCGCGCCCTCGCCCTTGTTGCTATGGGTGGGAAGCGCGCAGGGCGATCCTGCCCTGTGCGTGTTTGGTGGGTGCGCGCAATGACGGGGAATCGCCTGGCGGGCTTTGCGGTGCCCCTGCGCTGCGCCCTTACGACAGGCAAGAGTCACAGCGGCTGCCTTCATAGTTTGTCAGGCGAGGGCAATGTTTCCCAAAATCTTGGGCGACGGCTGGCGGCGTTTGGCCATGGGCCAAGAGCGGTGGGCCGAATTAAAGATTTCTGGCTTCAGATCCAGGCTAGCACAACCTGCACGGGTGTGGGCTTCTGCGAACTTCAGGGTCAGCAGAGTCGCATGCAACCGAGCAGTGTCGTCCTTGCTGGTCCCTCCCTCCCTCCCCCATTGCTGGAGGATGCCTTGCAGGAGTACTTCCGTGGAGGACGCCCCGCATGCCCCGCCCCCCTCCCATCGGGAGCCTTGAAACGGGGGCCAATGCAAACGAGGGTCAGCCAGAGCGCCGGATCTTGCAGGATCCTGCAGAGCCAGGGTTGCACTGACTCAGGCTTGCGTGCAGGATCTTGCAAAGCCTGACTGCTCCCGATTTGCATTGACCCGGGTTAGTGCGTCCCCGACCCCCCACACACACCTGCTGGAGGATGCCCCACAGGACGCCCCCCTCCCCCTCCCTTTTCCGCAGGATGCCTCGCCGCACTCCGCCATGGAGGAGTACTTCCGGCTCATGGAGGCGCGCGCCCCCCCGCATCGGGGCGGCCGGCTCTGCCATAGGAGGGTGTGGGTGGGGGGGGAGGGCGCGCACCGGGTGGGGACGTCCGGGCGCTCCCCCCCAACAGCTGCTTCCCTCCTGGCGCCCCCTTCCGCCCTGCCCCCTCCGCCCCCCCCCCGCCCCCTCCGCCCTCCCCTGCCCCTTGCTCTCCTTCTCGTCCTCGTCTTCCTCCTCTGTTTGTCTGTCTGCCTGCTTGTCTGTCTGTCTGTTTGTCTGTCCGTCTTTCTATCGACTTATATAGATCTATACATCCAGCAACATTTATATGTATATATATATATGGGTAAACGTACAGACATATGTATTCAGTTATGCATGTATCTCATATATGTATGCAGGTTTATATGCAAACGTGTGCTTACATCTGCATATATATATATATGCCGATCTAAGTTTGTCCATCGATCCACATGTATGTCTATATGGGTGTACATAATGTATGACCAACTGTCTGTATACAATTACATATAACTATCTGTTTAACTACATTAATTAATCAATCAATGCATGCATGTCGTTTCATCTATATTGCTGTATCTTTGTATATACACGCATACATACACACATATATATATGTAGTCATATCGCCATACACTTTATCTATGCGTATGCTTACACCAACGCATATTATACTTAGAACCGCATCTATAGCTAACTACACATATACATATTTCCAGGCGTATATATGCACACGCATCGACATACGCTATGCCTTGTGATAATGTGCACATGTATATACATATCCATATATCGCAATGTCTACAAGATTCTGTACGCACACACACATATATATGAATGTACATACATATATACACATATATACATATCATCCCATGTGTATATCGTATATCCGCACATACATATACATACATGCACGGAAATACATATCTGCATATTTATATACACACATGTAAGCCACCTGTCTGTCTGTCTGTCTGAGGACAGCCCTGCGGCCCTCGGAGCGCTGGCCAACAGCCTCGCGCGGGCCGCTGAGCGCCTGCGCAAGCTCTGGGACACCCTGCAGCTCCTGCAGAAGGCGGGGCTGACGAAGCAAGCCACAGGGGCTCTGCTGCGTACCAGCGCGGGAGCCGCAAGCCAGCACGCGCTCAGGCTGGAGCACGCCACGGACGCCGCCGCCGCCGCCGCCGCCGCCGCCTACGACGGCTTCCTGACGAACTGCTGGGAAACGCTGTCGCAGCGAGACTTCGACGAGAACGCAAAAGAACTGCTGGGGCTGCCTGCGAGGCTCTGCGGGCTGGGCGCGCAGTTGGCGACAACGCGGCGCCACGCGGCCTTCCTGTCCTCCTGGGCAGGCGCGGCGGCCGAAGTCACGCGGGACCTCGGCAGCAGCACGCTGGCGGACTGCCTTGACTTGCTCCCAGACGCGACGAGCAAGTTGGAGGCCGCGCGGAGCGGCCTCGAACAACAGGTACTCCTGCTGGCCGACGGTGGAGCGGTAGCGGACGCCCTGGCCACCCCTTTGAAGCAAGGTTTGGCAGTGGACAACTTGCAAAAGACAGCACGCTGCGCTCCTGCAGCGGTTGCACCTCCCACAGCGAGCTGAACTGCGTGGACAGGCGAGGCCAGGGGCTGGGGCCTTCCTCAACTACCCCACGGAGGTGTTCTGCTCGCTGGAGGACGCCCGCTGGGAAACCGCAGCGCGCAGCCGGCTGCACCTCGAGCGGCCCGCCTGCAGCCGCGGCGAGCTCGCGGGGGCGGCGACGACCTGCTGCCTGCGCAGCGCGACCCCCTGGACAGCCGAGGCTACCGTGCCGCCAGAATGGCGGCGGCGGCGTGCGCAGGCACGCGCGGCTCGCGCGCTGGCTTGGAGGACTGCTGCGAAGGTGGCGACACGAACGGCCTCTCTGCGAACGGCGCGGCCGTGAAACGGAGCGCGCGGTGCTCGACCTAGAGTGCCATGACGACGACGCGCGGCGCTGGCTCGACGTCGCGGTCCGACACCCGGCCGCGGGAACGCAGGCCGAAGTCCGCGCGGCAGGTCGCCGGGATGGCGAGGCCAGCAGGAGGGGAGAACGCGTCCAGCGCTCGCGTTACTCGGGCGAGCGTCTGGCCCCCTTCGTCCTGGAGGTCGGAGGGGGACTGGGCGCGGAGGCCCGCCTTCCTGTCTGAAGGCCGAAGTGAACAGGCAGGACGAGCAGGACCAGCAGCGCGGGCTGGCCCGCGCCCGCCGGGTGCTCAGCTGCGGGCTGCAGAGCGAGCTCGCGCGCCAGCTGCGCTCCTCGGCGGGCATCCGCTAAGGCGCCAGCTGCGAGCGGCGCGGAGCGGCGCAAGAGAACGGCCCCGCGCGCCGCCGCAGGCTTGCGCTGGCGCGCCTCAGGGCTTCTGGCGACAACGCTCGAGGCCGCCGCGCTGCGGGCGCCGCTGCGACAACCGCGACGGCGCCGGAATCTGCGGCGCAGGCGGCGAGCCAGCACGGGCCCCTCGCCGCTGGCGAGCAGGCTCGGGGCGGCGCGGGCTACGCGGCGGCCGCTGGCCAGGGCGCGCGCTGCCGGGCGGCGCAGCTCGCGGCGGGCCTGCGAGCCAGCGCCAAGGGGCTTGCCGGGCGGCGCGGCGCAGAGTGCGGCGGGCTTGCCGGGCGGCGCGGCGCAGAGTGCGGCGGGCCTGCCAGGCGGCGCAGAGCAGCGCGACGGGGCGCGGCGGGCCTTCTGCCCGGCAGCCTCGCTCTTCCCCTTCCTCTTCTCCCTCCGCTTTTCGGCCCCGGACAGCGGCGCGTTCCTCCGCGTCGTGGCCCTCGCCCCCCAGGCGCGGCTGGGGCGCGCCCTCCAAGCGTTGCTGGAGAGCGCCCCAGCGACGTGGGAACCCGAGAGAGAGAGAGAGAGAGAGAGAGAGAGAGATGGAGAGAATATGTCTGTCTGTCTGTCTGTCTGTCTGTCTGGTTGTCTGTCTGTCTGTCTGTCTGTCTTTCTGTCTTTCTGTCTTTCTGTCTTTCTGCCTGCCTGCCTGCCTGCCTGCCTGCCTGCCTGCCTGCCTGCCTGCCTGCCTGTCCACATATATACAACTATCTATCCATCGACATATCTGTCGAGTTTGGCGCGCGACGACGTCAGCGGCGTTTGAGCAGACGAGCCAGCGCGCCACCACGCGGGCCAGCTCACCAGACCTTGGAGTTGGGTGAACAACCCCCCAGTCGCGACTCCCAGAGAGAGAGACAGAGAGAGAGAGAGAGAGAGAGAAAGAGAAAGGGAGAAACAACAAAACAAGGAGGCTGATGGGGATCTCACAGGAGACCTGCGCGACCGAGGAGGCAAGGAGGGAGGCACTGCGCAGCCACTCCCCCGGACAAGGCTTCCAGACGAGGGACCCCTGGTTGGGAAGACCAGGTTGCTCCACAGGAGACCTGCGCATCCAGGAGAGGGGGCGGCATTCAGTTCTCCTGGGCCCCCTCTGCACTGGCAGACACCGAAGCGCCGCTCTGGGGGGCTCCTCCTCCTCCTCCTCCTCCTCCTCCTCCTCCTCCTCCTCCTCCTCTTTCTCCTCCTCTTCCTCCTCTTCCTGCTCCTCTTGCTCCACCTCCTCCTCCTCCTCCTCCTCCTCCTCCTCCTCCTCCATGCCCCCCAGTGCATTAGCAAGCGTCGGGGCAGTCTTGCACGCGAGGGACGTAGCTAGGTCATGACACAACCTCTGGAATCGTCGTGCGACCAAGGTCCGGCACGATAGGTTTCGCAAGGGTGCCCGCGCAGCTGGCAGAATCAAGCGCTTCGTTCGTACCGACACGCGTTCGCCGAAACTGTATACTAGTGGTTACCCCAAGGCGATGTGGGCTGCTGAAGTGCACGGGATCAGCCTTTCCAGTCTCCGACTGCTGCGCCTATAGTGCGCATGCCAGTAGGCTTGTGAGTGGTCCAGGCACGTGTGCGACCACTGCTATCAAGCTGTGTTTCGGGGCGGGCCGTGACCCTGTCCAGGTCCACATTCGTCGCCTTGTAGCGACTTGGTTGGGCCGGCTCGCAACGCGCCCGAATCTCTGTTCTCGCGTTGAAGCTGCATGGCAGACATTTTTGGACAGAGCGAATAAAAGGCTGGAGTTGGGTGAGGGGCCCACTTTCAGCCTTGCAGGCGTGTTTGTTGCACTTAGGGTGGTCTTGCCCCAGCGCTCAGGAGATGACTGGGCTTTGGTGGAAGATGGATCTTTCCCTGCCACTCCGTTATCGGATGATTTCAGCGCCAGCATTGAGAGCATGCAGTGGCTTGGAGTCTCTAAGTTTTATCTCGGAAAAGGGGCTGAGCGACGAGTCTCATGACAGCACGTAGGAGAGCTTGCTAGGAAATTCACGAAAGACGGTGAGGCAGGCATGGCAGCTATGGTCGGAACCATTGCGGCCGGAGGCATGTGGACAGAATCGCGCAAATTCGAGTGTGGCAGTGTTCCCGATAGCGTTTGCCAGCGATTTTTTCGTTCCGACGAGAGCCCTAAACACAGAGTTTGGAAATGCATGTGTAACGCCAGTGGTGACAGCGCCCGGGTGACTGACACTGAGCATCTGCGGCATGAGGCCTTGCCGAATTCGATCTTGCACCAATTTTCTGGGGAAGAGGGCTCATTCCTAGTGATTGGTTGGGTCTTCCTCCCTCTCCTTCCTCTCGCCTCTTGGAGTACCACGGGTGCGAGCCCTTGACCCCATTGCCTGGCGGAACCTAATTATGGCTCTGATGGTGCAGGCGGACAGTGGTCGCAGCACCCGCGTCTCCGCAGAGTCTCGTTTGGTTTCGCTGGCCTGGAGGTTGATGAGGACGGAGTGCCTTCCTGGAGCCATGGAGCTACAGGTGTCTGTGACAGCTCCCGCCAGAGTGTTCCCAGAGCAGAGCTCACTGCTCTGGTGGAGATTGTATGCCATGCCAGCTGGTCTGAAGCGCTCGCGATTGTGGGTGACCGTATAAATCATGTCAAGGCCTTCAACAAAGGCTGGAATCACTACCTACGTACACCTTGCCAATGCTGACCTGTGGTGGGAGTTTTGGGTGTTGGCCAGTAAGAGGTCTGCCCCACTTGAGCTAGTGCATCGGCCGTTACATTTAGCCGAGAATTCGCACAAGTTTGAGCGGTTTTGCAGAACTACTGACCCATATCATGTTTACATCAATCGCGTGGCGGACGAGCTCGCCGCCAGTAAAGCAGATGCGCATCAGGTTCCCGCGCAGCAGTGCCAGGGTTTCTTGGCGCTTGAGCTGAAGGCCAAACAGGTCTTGCTCCGGATTGCCACTCTCACCTTCGAGGTAGCGGGTAGCGAGTAAGCCTAAGAACAAGGAGCTCGTTGTCGTGAAAGAGAAGGTTCCAAGGCTGGCCGCCCTCCGACAGAAGCGAGTAGCCTTTGTGAGCAGATCGCAGCACCAGTTTGGACTGCACGCGCCTGGTCTTTGGCGCTGCTCTGAATGCGGACTCCATGCCAAAGAAAAGACTCGGGGGGTTCGGAACCGTGTCCTTTCGGCCTGCGCGGCCCTGGCTCCGAGGGCCCCTGTCCCGCTCCCCCGTCTGGGGTCTGCGCCAGGGCCCCTGGCCCCGATCGACGGTGCACTTTGGAGCAGGCTTGGCATGGAAAATCCGCCTGTGCTCGTAGCCCACCCTGCTTTCATTGCATGGCAGAAGTTGTCTTCTTCACATGAGCTGTGGTATAAAAGGCAAATCTACATTTTGTGGCTTGTGTGGTGCGTGGGCCACGCAGCGACCGGTCAACCTGTTAGCTGGTTGCGTTGTGGCCCTGGACGGGCCGCACCGTATTTCCCCTAAACAGCTGCAGGCTTTGCAACGAGTTCGCAAAGGATTGCCCCCGCAGCAGAGCTCTCGTGTGTGGGATTCTGGGCAGGAGCCCGTCGTTCAGCTTTAGCGCGTTGAGGCCGCACCACTTGCTTCCACCCCCCTCGGGGTGTCTGGAAGCAGGCAGGGCCACCTGCCCAGAGGACTCTGTGTTGGTTCCCACCCCCAGGGTGCTCCAACCTCCTCTGGCCTTTTAATTTTATGTGCTGATTTTTGTGTCTGTCAGCGCACTCTTTAACTTCGGTGCTTGGCACCCTTCACCCTGCAGCCGTCCACGCATTCACCTGCAGTGCCGTCTGTAGCAGCATACAGTGAATCCTCCTACAAATCCTTCATGTCCATCTCCTCCTCCTCCTCCTCCTCCTCCTCCTTCTCCGGTCTAGTGGGCGCGAGAGCGGAGCACCTGCCTGCAGAGTGCTCCCCGCGCTTCACTTTCCATTATAATTTTGTGCTCCGCATCCTCGCCGAGATCCATCCCTAGGGTGGGCTTGGGTGCGATCGGAGCTCCCTGAGGGAGGCGTCCGCGCCCGCCCTCGCTATGTTGTGTCGGACAGTGCACTGCGCGTCCGCTCCAGCCAGCGTCGTATCCTGTCCTCCTCCATGTCCTCTTCCCTACACCCCCGCCCTCCCCTTCCATCCTCCCCCTCCCTCTCCTCCAGCGCCCTCTCCCCCTCCCTCCTTCTCCTCCTCCCTCCTCCCTCTCCTCCGGCGCCCTCTCCCCCTCCCGTCCTCCTCCCTCCTCCCTCCTTCCTCCTCTCGCCTTCGCTCCCCTTCTCCCTGCTCCCGGCCGCCTCGCTGCCGCGCCCAACCCCCCCCGCCCGAGAGGCCTACGCGCTCGACGCGGGCGTGGCCCTGGAGTGCCGCATGTGGGAGGCCCCCCGACCTGCCTGCGCCTGGCGGCGCGCGCCACGGGGGAGGGGGTGCCACGAGCGGCGAACGTGCCTGTAGGAGCGCTGGTCGAGATGCCGATCGATTGACACCACAGAAGGGGACGCCGTGGTCGGCGTCTTTGGGGAACGCGCCACTTCTGGCCGGGTCTGGGGCCCCAGAAGCGGCCCCAGCTCCGACGTCGAGGAGATCTGCCCGCGTCCGTGTCCACGCCCTCGCGGTCGGGACTGCAGCGCGCGGTCCCGCAGATACCTGGTCGCACGGGTGCGTTCCCCGAACAGTGCGCCCGGCATCCGCAGAGTCGCGACCCTGGGGCCTGGCCCGCGGGGTAGCGGATGCGGACACGTTTCTCGCCCACGAGGGGGAGTGCCGCAAGGGTCAGGGGCGACGGCAGGGGTTGACGCCAGACCCCTTCGCGCCTCGAAAGAATCGCGACGGAAGGTCTTTGGCGATTTTCGGCTCTTCGGGGCCCTCGCCGGGTCCTGGGGCCGTCAAAGAACGACTCGGGGTGAAAAACTGGTTCTTGGAAGGGGTCCAGACTTCTAGAGCTGGGGAAGGGGGGGACTAGCCCAGAGAGATCATTAGGACAGGGAGGGTTTTTGGGCGTTTCCGTCGGTTCCTAGAGGATTTCCTGCCTTGGGATCCGTTTCAGCAGCTGCGCCCCGCCGAGAGCGTTCCGCTCCCTGGAGTGCCCGGATCGTCCCGAACGGCCGCCGGACACCACAGCTACGACCCGAGAGCCACACCTGCAGCGTCAGGGGGGGACCCGGCCCAGTGGGAGGCAGCATCGACCCACAACGGCCCACTCCTCGCCGATCGGCGCCCGGCCCCCCACCGCGCCCAGGGAGGCACGGTTTCGCTACCAGGAGCCCCTCGCCGATCTGTCGGCGATGTATCACCGATTCCAGGTCATTGGTCCCCCCCCTGGCCCGTCCCCGCTTTCCTTCGGCCAGGCGGCGGGGGGCTCCTTGCACGGCAGGTGGGCGACGCAGCAAAGAGGGGGCCGTCTGCGCCGACGTTGGCGCGGCAGCTGCCCGCGTAAAAGGTCGCGCGGAAGCACCCATCGCCTGCAACGCAGCGTGCTGGCGGCCTGCGTAAGCCGCCGCGTGAGGTCGCTGTGCCATCTCGCGCAAGGCCCGTTTTTCCTCCTCCTCCTCCTCCTCCTCCTCCTCCTCCTCCTCCTCCTTCTCCTCCTCCTCCTCCTCCTCCTCCTCCTCCTCCTCCTCCTATGGTCGCTCTCAGGTGGCTTCCGAGAAGGGCCTCCGGGCTCCCGAGGAGCCCGCGTGGAGGCATCCATCGGCGCCTGCAGGGAGGCCCCTGCCGTTGCCTTCCCGAGGAGCCCCCCGCCCTCGTAGGTGGCTGCTCCCCTCGCGCCCCCCCCCGGGTGCGCGCCGCCAGGCTCCCTGCCGGGGGAGGAGGCCCAAGCGACGGCTCGCAGAAGGCCCCGAGATCTGGGCTTCCACCTGGTCCAGAACTCAAGGGCGCCCTCGAGGGCGCGAAGCTCTTCGCGCTTCGGGCTTCGGCTCCGATTCTTTTTCGTCATCCTTTTCTCCCCTGGGGGGCGGCGCGAGAGCGCGAAGTTATTCGCGCTCCGCGCTTCGCGCAGCGCAAAGCGCGACGTTAGGCGCCCTTGAGACCTGGCGCCTTTGCCCAGATTCGAGCCCCCTGCGACCCTCCTGGCTCGCGCTGGCTCTAGAGATGCCACGGAAGAACAGGGTCGAGAGATTTGGCCGGGACCGTTCGCGATGCTGCACGCTTTCACGACGGCGGATCTCGGGAAGCGGACGCGCTCGTCGGCTTGCAGCATGGGGGGGCCTCCCGGCGTGGGCGCGGCAGCGGTGTTCTTCCGCCTCGGCCGCCAGTACCTCCAGCTCGGCTACTCGCAGAGGGCCGCGGCCCGAGCCTGCATGCGGCCCGCTCGCGCGCGCCCCCCCGGTCGGTCTAAGGGCGGGGAGCTAGGAGGAGGCGGCCGGGGGGAGGCGGCTAGGAGGAGGGGGAGGGGGAGGGGGAGGGGGAGGGGGAGGAGCGGGAGGAAGAGGAGGAGGAGGGAGAGGAGGGGGAGGGGGAGGCCGCCCTCGGATCTCATCACGCCAGCGGGAGCTGTGATCCTCACCCCGGGGCCCTTCGGCTTCGACACCCCTCTCGAGAGATCTTCGATGCGATTGGTTGTCCCACGGGGGCAAGGGACTCGGCTCTCCCAGCTGTGGGTGGTCGGCTCATCTTGTCGTGCTCCCGCGCGAATCGTGGATGCGTAGTCGTCTTGGCTCCAGCAGAGGGGCAGGCCCGCGTCTGTATCATCCTTATATACTGTACTTGCGGAGCCGCGCCGCAGGCTTCGAGGCGGATGCGGTGCCTTACGCTGGCCGCGGCGCTGGTCCACTTTCTCAGCCAGCCATGGCCTGGGCAGGCGATGCAGGTTGTGCGATCCACTGAGGCGGCGGAGGACGGCGGCAGGGTGGAGGCGTGGCAGCGGTGGTCGGAGGATGGCGGTGGCAGCCATCGCGAGAAGAAGTTCGGTCTCAAGAGGCCCGGTCAGCTGACCCCATGGCTGCACCGCAAGGGGAAGGCCCTGGTCGTGCTCTCCCACTGGATCCCGGGGGAGGGCACGAACGGCAGCGGCATGACGGGCCGCGTGAAGGCGGAGAAGTCGCTGAAGAAGACGCTGGGCGAGATCCACGCCTGGCCGGTGGAGTCCACCATCGTGCTCGTGAGCAACGAGTACAACGAGAACGTCAGCGGCGTGGTGTCCCAGCAGGTCATCACGGGGCGCGAGCCGTCGTGTAACGCCACCTTCCAGTTCAAGCTCTGCATGCCCTGGGAGGCGCTCCGGGCGCTCCGCAATGCGAGCTCGACGTGGACGCCGGGGTGCGACCTCTGGAAGAACGCGGCCTGCGGCGTGCCCTCGTACGACTACTACGTGTACTCGGAGTCCGACATCAGGGTGCCGAGGGACGTGTTCGAGTTCTGGGGGAGGCACGCCGACAGCCTGTTCAAGCGGGGCTACTTGCTGCTGCCCCACCGCCAGGAGCACTTCGGTGACACCCAGGTGCTGACCGACTGTTTCGACGACGACTGCTTCAACCGGACGGCCATATACAAGGACGAGAAGGGCGAGGCCGAGCTTTACAGTAATCCCCGAGACCGCATGTACATCCTGCCGGGCAATCCGTACGCTGGATGCTTCTTCATGACGTCCGAGATGTACGAGGAGTGGCTCGAGAGTCCCATGTGGGATTACTCCTGGGCCATGCTCCTCAGTCACCCGCCCGTGGGCAACATCAAGAGCTGGGGCAAAAGGGAGTCCGCGACGGGCGGCCTGCTTTGGGATCCCAAATACGGCGCGTCCAAGGGCATTACGCACCCGAAGATGCACGTCTTCCACGGGTCGCACATGCACCGCGTGGCCTTCAAGGAGAATGACTACCGGAAGGTGGCCGAGATCGATGCGCTCTTGGAGAAGTGCGCCAACGGCACCCTCGACAAGAGCAGATGCCAGCCGCTGCCTGACGTCCTCGGGAAGTACAAGATCTGAGGGCCGGTCTGGGCTAGGGGTGGCAGGGGGAGGGGAATCGGGCGGGGCTAGGACGAGGATAAATCCGTTCCAGAGCGTTCCCGAACGCTCCCAGAGCGTTCAGGAACGCTTCGAGAAGGCCGCGACGCCCGATACATTCTCCAGAGCCGTCGGATCGCAGGGATTCCCAATGTATCCCCACCCGACTTTCTCCTCGCCCTGGCTTCGTCTTAGGGAAGGGTGGGTCGGGGCAGCCAGCCCCGGGATCCGAGCAGATCCCGCCTCGGCTTCCGAGCAGATCCCGCCTCGGCAGCGCTCCGCGGCGCTCCCGAGCGGCCGCGGTGCCGGGCACTCCTCCGGGCCGCCCGGCCGGGGGCCCTGGAGGGAGCCGCGCCTCGCGCGTCGCGGCCCGGGCCAGAGGGCTGCCCCTCGCCAGAGGGGCGTCGCCGGGGCGCGAAGATCTACCGCGCGTCGCGCACCGCGGGGCGCGATGCCTCGGGCGGACTGCACGTGCGAGTGGCCCCCTACAGGCGAAATGTTCAAGAATAGTTCATCAGTGAATAGTCTGGTGACGAGTTTTCGACTATGCTTGGACTATGTTTGAGCATTTCTTGTCTATAGCTTCCGATTTCTTCCAAAGTCCGCCTGTAGGAGGAGTTGCCCGATCTAACCCTGACCAGACTGACCTTTGGTGCGGGCCCGCTGGGGCTCCCGATCGCCCGACGAGATGTGGTAGCAGTGTCCTGCGCGCTTGGGTCTGGCCGCCCCCCCCCCCGCGGCCTCCACAAAGTCGCCCACCGAAAGTCACCCGTACCCGGGGGGGGGCACTGTTGCGTGTGGTCGATGGAGGTTGGGTGAGCTGTGCGCATCCTCCCGGCCCGTCGGCTCCGAGAGGTCCCCGGAGTCGAAGGGCCCTGGCCTGCGCGCATTCCGCCTGCGTCTGAGTCTCGGCGTGAGCTCAGGCGGGCGAGGCAGAGCAGACAAGCGGGGCTATCCGTGCGGACATTTGCGCGTAATCTGCCCGCGCAAGATCGGGCGTGACGCGTCAGCGCCGCCGGCTTCTCCGCGGCGTGCCGCGCTGGCGGCCTGTCGAAGCTACCGCGTAGGGTCGCCGCGCTGTCGTGCGTAAGGTGTGGTCGGCCAGGTGGTGATGTACACCGCTCGCGGGGGACCGCCAGGCAGCCAGGCAGGCGCTCCTTCCGCTCCTCCTCCTCCTCCTCCTCCTCCTCCTCCTCCTCCTCCTCCTCCTCCTCCTCCTCCTCATCCGTTCTCTTTGCCGCTTGTTCTGGATCCTCCCCTTCCTCCCCGTCATCGTCCTCTTGCTCTCCCTTCACCGCTACCCGGTACCGCTCCACCTTTTTCTTCGCCTCTTTCTACTCGTTATCCTCTTCCCCCTTGTGTTCCTCTCCCTCATCCCCCCCTCTCCCTCCCCTCCTTGCCCTTTCCCTACACCTCTTCCGGTTCCTCTTTCTCTCGTCCCCTTCCCTCCTCTCTTCCTTGCCTGCCATGTTCTGCCCCCTTCCTCCCCCTCCCCTTGCCTTCCCCCTCTCCGACCTGCGCAGGTGGGGAGGGGAGACTCTCACGCGCCCAGTGCCCCCGAAGGGCATCGCGGATTCCCGCCAGTTCCGCACAGACAGGATCGGCCACGCGCAGAGGGGGATGAGGGGGATGGGGGAAGGCTTCTCAGAAACACCCCTGCTTATTAGAGGGCGCGGGCCTCGTCTACAGATGTAGGGCCGCCGCCTTCCCTGAGATCCTGGCCTTCAATTTTTTCACAGCGGGCGTTTTTGCTCAATTTCGGGCCCCGGGACCCTCACAGGTCGATCTGTCTCGAAACATGGCGCAGGAAGATTGGGGTCCGGGGCTCCGGTCGTGATTTCTGGCGATGTTGCAACTTTTGGGAAACGTCGGATCTCAGGGTTCTAAGGCGCAGCATCCTTCTAGGAAGGCTTCCCCCCTCCCCCTCCCCCCCCTCTGCGCGCCGCCAGCAGAAGGTGGCCCGCCAGCCGCTCGCAAACGCGTGCGCGCAGCGCCTGCCCTCGGGCCCAGTGACCCGCGCGCCTCTAGCCGAGGGCTCTGCCGCTCGGCGGCGCGCAGGGGGGCGGCCAGGGGCGGTGGGTGGCTCGGCAGCAGGGCGTGGGAGCCTTCTTCGAGCAGGGGGTCGATTGTAGAAGTCATGTGCAGTCGGGCCAAAGTGTCAGATCGAGGTCGGTCTGGGGAGGGTACCCTAGCGTTCTTCGTGTTTGTTCATGTTTTTGTGCACCCTGGTGAGGGTACCCTTGGATATTCTGTGCGTTTTGGCCGGCGGAAGGTCTCATGTTCTTGAGGGATTTTCTTCTGGCCTGGGTCCGACTGTACCCCCATTTTTTGTCGAATTTACGAACTAAAGCGCAAACTGCTCCGTACACCTACATACCATCTGTGCGTTCTTCGGATACTCTTCACGGACAACAAGTTGTGGAGTGGATCAATTCTATAGTCGATTCCCTACTCGAACTGTGTTCGGTGGCTATAAAGGGTGGGGTTACGCCGGGGTGTGGTTTGCGACCTGCACCGTTGGGACCTGAAGAGGACGACACCGTCCTCGTCGGGCCGCCTCGGGGCGCCGCGGAGAGCTCTGTCGAGGTCCTCGCCCGCCTCCCAGGGTGCCCTCCAGGGTGCCGGGAGCAAACCACACCCTTTGCAAACCCCGTTCTTCGCAAGTTTGCTTTTAGAGTGCATTAGCGTGCGGTAGCGTCCGGCAATCTATGATAGGGCGCCGAATTAGCGCCGATTCAGGTCGATTGGCGTCGATTGAGCGTCGATCTAGCGTCGACCAGCGTCGATCAGCGCCAATCAGCGTCGATTCGCAAGAGCCAACAAGATGGTCTGGGAGGCTCCCATAAGCTGCCACCGACGAAGGGGGGGGGGGGCGGCCGTCAGAAGGGGGCCAGGGCGAGATGCGGGGGCGTGGGGAAGGGTGGCGAGGAGGGCCCTGGGCCAGGGCAGAGGGTCAGAGAAGGAAAGCATACCAGTAGCGCTGATTACGGCAGGCTCGTCTTGTGTCGACCCCAGCGTTGGTTCCTGACACCGCGGGATCGCGCAACCTTGAACGATCGGCCGTTTCCGCAACTTCCGATCGTTCAACATCGACCGATTCTGGGCCGCCGCTGGCGTTCAACGTTGAACGCCGGCGGCGGGGTCGCCGCCGGTCGACACGCCGCGAACCTATTGTACCTTTTTCGTCACCACGGCCGGATCCTCCTCGAGCTCCTGATCAGAACGCACCTCAGGAGAGGCCCGTGGTGCACCAGTATCGGTATTTTCCTCGTCTCCCCAGGGGGGCTTTTTGGGGCCTCCCGGCCTTCTGATGGCAGGGGGGCCCCGAGAAGCCTCCCT